TACTCTTCTTTAATATTATATTGAATTTTTTTTTCGAGGTTCTAAAAACAGTCGATCTTTTGAATTAGTTTTGATCTAACAGCAAAAATCTATCGACTGAGAGGTGGTGATGGACCAGTGTCATTGTACACTGTGCCATCACCACATACGCCTCCGTCCTTGTTTCAATGCAGGGCTGAATGTGGGGCCGGGGTCACTGACGAGGAGGACGAACCTCCGAAACACCGGTGTATGACCCTGGCGTATCAACCCCGTTTAAGCTTAGAGCATTCTTTTTTGGAATTATAGTAGCACTTTATAAATAAAGTTAGCCACAAGCATGTGCTGACTAACATGCATACACTCATCGATTCAGAAAAAATAGCCTCCATCAATACTGGCGGTTATGATGTTTGTCGCGGCGCGCGGGAGGCCGATCTCTTTTCGACACTATTCGGCAGTCGGCAACGAACGCCTTTTGGCACGCCTCAGCCGCGCTATCATCGAGATTGCAAGCAGAGGTGCTCAACTAGTGTTTACGACAATCAAGAATAAGACGAAAAAATAACAAATTAAATGCTAGAAGTACTGGGATCCGTACAGTGAAAACCCACTTTGTGAAGACGGATTAGTAAAATGTTTTAATTGCCTAAGACGAAGTAAGTTTTGAAAAACGAACCAGGCCTCATGTGTAAAAACGTCTCCACGATATTACTGAGTACCCGGTCCAGCCTGATGCGCTGAATGGTGGCACGACACTAAAAAAATCTATTTACCATTTTGTTAATCTGACAGAATTAACGAGGAAGAGGGGAAGGTGCGGCCCGTTGGTTGTGATGTCCGTCACGACGCTGAGCGGCGTTGATCCCACCACCCTCCCAACCCTCTGGTGGTTAACATTGAAAGCCCCATAGAAGGAAAACCACAGGAAGACCATTCTCAAGATTGCAAGGTGATCTGCTTGACCCGGTTTTCTTCGCCTTTGAAGAAGAAGACGAACAAGGAAGCGTGTGCTAGAGGTACTGCGACCCGCATAGTAGAATGTGATAGCGGATCGTGTAAATTGATATACAAGCCACAAAAGAACTATTAAAACAAAAAGAACAAAATGATTAGCAGTAGGTTATGAACGACAAATGTTGAACGGTTTTTTAAATTGCTTGAAAGTGGTACAGAAGCTTATTAGTTCCAATTTACAAATGCTGTTGATTTGTTTTCTATATCTGCAGATTGAGTAAAAAGTTCGTGCAGTTTTGGCTTTTGTTATTATTTTTGCAATGAAATTGCATGACTTTAGCGTTGCTCAAATTTGAAATTCCATGCAAACATTTAGGTACTAAACATGCCTATACTTGCCTTGAGACAGAGGTATTGGAAAGAAATTCGCTTGCTAACCAGACGCAAATTTAAACAAATTTTTGCCTGAGTAACAAACGAATTTCTTCCCAAGACAATTTCATCATATAACAAGTACAAGCAAGTTATATACCAAAATGCCCGTAAGAAGATGTGCAGTCGTACGATATCAAAATGATGCAGTATTCTTGCAGTAATGGTATTGAAATCCGGAATAATACGCAATCTTCACATATCTCATTAGATGGTTTCGGCGCAGTCAGTTGAAATAAATAAAAGCAAAAAAATGAGTATACTAACAAGATACGTATGTAGGGTAAGGTAAATGTAAAATACAGATCTATAGAGTTGTATGATTTATGAGGCAATGAACGGGAAAAAAAGCGGCTTCAAATACCTGAGGACAATTTCCTAAGGACTGCCTGAGCCATAATAACGCGCACGAATAGCAGTACTTATGATTACATGGATCAACACTGTAATAGGAAATATTCACAGACGCAACACTAGCAAATGAATATAATCATAAGCAATGAATAATTCACAATGTTCAGCCTTATTATTTTCTCAGTTTTTCTCACCAACGGCATACGAGGCAGATTGAAACCATAAGAGTGTTCAGAGACGAGTAAAGCCTGCAACCTAAAGTGGCTTTCAATCCACGACCTTTCTTTCCAAGGGCTTATTAACTTTCCACGGCACTCTCAGAAATGACAAATGCAGGGTTCGAAGCCACCTCAGGCCCAAAATTTTGCACGTATCGCAACACTCTTGTGATAACACACGTTTTCTCAATTTTACCACATTACGCGGACTTAGTATTGAAATTTTCGTTCAGCTAACTTTTGACATCTTCTCCTCTTTCATGACCAACTGATCCGAGTCATTTGTGTGTAGGCCTTTTCTTATATGATGACAGAATAGGATTAAGTAGCAATTAGAAATAAGACGTACTTGATCGGTCAATAAAATATGTCGTTATCACTGCATTTAACGAGTTAGTTCAATCCATCGTGCGACGATAAATTAGTATATAATGAAAAATTCTGATAACGACACGTCCCTGGAGACGAAGAAGTAGTATTATCCTGTCTTCGATTCTGTAAAAACTACAGTCTAATTCATCATCTCATCAAAAGCATTAGGCTATTTTGGCTACTGCAATCAGCGAAGTCTTGTTTAAAAATAATGAGCAAACAAACTAAAACGGGTATCGTAACAATTCCATTTGTACCTGCTGGTTCGGTAATCCTGCAAATAGGACTTCAAATACATATCTTAGTGATAAAACGTAATACTAGCAGCAAAACTAACGTCTCGAATGTGTCACAGATGGAGAAGGCAAACGAACAATTTCACTTTGTCCATCGTAAAGTTGAAACCTCACATCAAGAGAATCTAAAAACTTTCCAAGCACTGTGATCACGAAGCTCACATACCTATTCTTAGCAAAATAAACTGAGAAATTTTTTCCGTCTTGATAAAATCTGATTCTAAGCTAAGCAATCAGTATATTTCGAAAGAGGCTTAAAAGTAAAACGCAAACGAACATCATGGAATTAGAAAAAATTAGAAGAAAAAAATTAGCTCTCACTGGTTGACACCGTTATTACGTCACCGGAGGCAAGATTTTTCCCTCTTCTTCTTGATACCGGTTTACCGCTTACAAATACTGTTGCCTTCTGAACAAACTTTTTGAAAGAAGTCAGCACTGTGATGTGGTGGAAACAAACCAACGATTGAGCAAGGGAAGTTTCACTAATAAAAGTTATCGGATCATTTCCGTCATCTATCCCCACTTCCAGACCCCGGAAAAAACGTTTTTTTTTGGTATCTTTAGAGTTTGATTAGTAATTGACACCACAAATCCCAAAAATTTTGAAAAGAAACTTCTTCCTAAGATGGCCTTCTTGTTGCACTCTAACAGCAAAAATAAAATTTTGTTCCTTATTCAAACATTTCCTGAAAACAAAACTTTTTCCAGGATTTTTCATAAGCAATCGAGAGTTTAAATCTTGGCAACTCCAGCTTTGTTTTGATTTTTGGGAAAAAGACTTTTTATCATAATGTTAAAGCCAAAAAAGATGGAGTATCTGCAAATTAGGATCAATTTTTTTCGCACCTATGTCGACCTTATGAGAAAAACACGGTTTAGTCTTTTTTCCAAGTAACAACATTCATCTTATAGCTCAAATTTCAAATATTTGAGTGGCGTATTATAATTCTGAAATCACTTCATTATTGTCCTGTAACAGCAAAAAAATTATGCCCCTCATTTAGGCGATTCTTCGTAGAACAAAGCTTTTCCCTGAACTTGCAGTGACCATTCGGTAACCCTAATTTCGACTATTCCGAAAATATACTTGGACCCTGAGAAGGACTTTTTAATGCGTTGTAGCAGCTGATAGAATGTTAAGTTTCGCGCAGCGCGACACTAACACCAATCAATCGCGGTTTGCCGGTAAATGCATTACATTCGCAACATCGGCACTAAGTCCCACGTCTTCGCCGGTGTCAGATATGCGTAATCAAATCTTCTTTTCTTACAACGAGCTATAAATTTTTTTTAAAACACACACATTATTGAAATCGCTCAAATTTAGCTATCTGATGGAAACTAAAGTCTAAATGAAAAGCTTTGTTCAGCGACAGATGTTTGAATGAACAACATTATTTCATCTTTGCTGCTGCAGCTTGCTGAAGAAATCGCCCTATGAATAGAGTGTATTTCTAAATTTTCGTGAATTAAGCTGTAGAATGACTATTCAAACTTATAGAACCACCAAAAATAGGTTTTTCCCGAATGTTGGAACGCAGGGTGGATAAGGGAAAAGTACCTGTCAAGCACAAGCATGCCTACTATAGTACTAACAGTACTTAAATACGTCATCAGCAATGTGAATTAATTTTGTTTCTCTTACTAACATACCTGTCTTGAGTTGGTTTGATCAAATACCTTACGGTATCCCTTACAACCATTCTAATCAATTCGGCATGAATATCAGCCAAATAAGGACTTGGATTTGTAATATCACAGCCTGGAGCTTGATCTACAGTGAATGGTTTTCGTTGAAACATCGGATGATTGATGAAGGCTATCTGACAGTCTTCTTGTTAGACATCTTCTCAACAAAAAGCAAAAAACCCTAATTTTCGCACTAATAGCAAAGCGCAAAAATTTACTTTATAAACTACTGTCAGAGATTTGGGTGGCGTAGTGGTCAAAAGTGCCGTCATCACTATCCAGGAGAGGTAGAGGTTCGATTTCGTGTAAGCTCGAGCAAGCCTCCTATCTCAGTATGCTGAACTAATGTTAGATTTTCTTGGCGGAAATTCCGTTGAACCCATAAAGACTGTTGACTGGGTGAAGGGAATATTGGGAAAGACAATGATTTATAGAATACAGATAAAGTACGGCTATTTAAGGACTATAGAGAGAATATATTCACTCGCACTCATCAGAAGATCAAATTCCAAGGCTCAAGAGCATATTCAAAAGTGTGAAGAGCATCGTCTGAGCACTTTTTAGGTGAACAGTGTCATCTCGTGTTCCGAGAAGGTGTTTAATAAGCGACCCAGAATTTATATATCAACTTTCTCCGCTTGGTTATGGAAGTGATCGAATGAGCACATAGAAAAAATCTGAGCAGAATCTGCAAAATCTGCGCTTCAGACGGGACTCGAACCCACATCTCATTCTATCCGAAAGCTCGTGCTCTATCCGTTACACCACTGACGCCCATTTTACACACCACTCCTTCTAAGCTAAAGCGCATCTATTTTTTTCGCGAAGGCTTCGTACATTACTCTACATTACTGGGTATATTATCTATATTACTCTATATTACTGGGTATATATATATTATATATATATATATATATATATATATAATATATATATATATGGGTATTAGTAACATCATAACATCGAAAAATCGGCCAAATAAAGGTTCTTATTTGAAGAGATGCGCTGTAACGTAGAAAGAGTGGTGTGCAAAACAAGCGTCAGTAGTGCAACGGATATGAGCACACGCTCCCGAATAGAATGAGGTGCGGGTTCTAGACCCGTTTGAAGCGGAAGTTTCGCATATCACTCTACATTACTAGGTGTATTAGTAGCATAATAACGGCGAAAAAAAAACGGTTTAGTAAGCGCTTCTATTAACTTTGTGAATTTAACATTTCAAGGTTCTCGAGAAAGCGAAGACGTCAAAATGGCATTCAGTGTCAGAATAATATTATAATAATGAATAAAATTTTCTAGAAGTATCATTAAGCTATAACTATATATATATATATTCAAAGATGCTGAGTAATATGTAAAACTTTTGATCTCGGACAAGATTTGAGTCCGCATTATATCCAGACCGAGAAAACCTGCCTTGGATCGAAAATGGTGGTATCACTCAGTATGCTCGGATGTATTTGTGAGACTTATATGTGAGACAGCGACAAAGTATAAATCGATCTCATTCGCCGGACAGAAATTTTTCATAGGAATGTTAGTAATCATTAGAAAGCTCAAATTTCTGGCTACACCCTCATGTCGCCAATTCCTTGAGACACCCTTTTACAGCGCTGTAGAACCCAGAAAATTATTCACACCCGCCTTTCGCATCTGAAGATGCTGTCGATGTGATGATTAAATCCGCACTTGAATAACAATATTTCAGACGTAATCAGTCGCCCCGCTCCCCTCTCTGCTGCGTAATCTGGCCGACAAACAAGGCCGTCGAGAATATGAAATTCGAGCGATTTTCCCTGCTAAACGGTATTTTCAGGAAATAAACACAATGTTCGAATCATTGGAACTGACGACGTCGAATGATTACTAATAGACTACAAAAAGAGCTCTACCCAGCGATGGTTAAAGCACAAAAATATTCTACTTCCTACGGTGATATCAAAAGAGCTTTTACAAAAGACATGCACGTTTTTCAGTTTTTCGAAAGTTGTGCTATCGAATGAGTGCTAGCATTCTAAGGAAGAAGTTTTCCAGCGAAATTTAAGTGAGATCAGAAAAAAACACGTGGTCGTGTAAACATAATTTTATTCTGAATTTTATATCGCTATAAAAAGATGTTTTGTAGAACAAACCACGTGGATCTGTAGCAAGAGATTCATGTTTCGAATGATTGATAACGCTCTTATAGAATATCCTGTTCAGCAAATGTGATGGATTTGTAACTTTGTCGCCGTCTAACATATGCGCATCTATTGGTGTAACATTATATTACTGTTATGTGAATGATAAAGAGAGAAACTGATCAATATTGTATATATTCAGTGGCTATCTGCTTGAATGGGTACAATTTCATGCTGTACTAGTCAGACGAAGCCCTTGACAGTTGGGTGCTGATAGCTTATATATTCCGCATTATATACGTTTGATAAACATGTGCTGTAGGGAAGATTCATAACAGCTATGAAATGAATGCTGATGATACAGTATCACTCACTATAACGGTAACAACCATTATGAACTTTTCAATGAGTGGTTCATGCCAATTCATGAAACACCAATGACGCCTTCTCCCCAGATCAGTTGTGACCGGCATCCAAGTAACTACAATCCGTCATCTAACACCATATTAACCCTCGGTGCGTGAGCGAGATCTGACACCGCGGCGTATAACGCAAAATATGTTGAGCGCTACCCAAAGGGTTTCTAACTCATAAACAGAACTTTCTAGTCACTTATATAATGCACCGCGATTACGCACAGAAACATCGTAGGATTTCCCATCAGCTTACGAATTCACACCGAAAATGTGGGAAACCTTTACACGATTAAACAGCGTATTCTCACACATTACCTCTGTCAATTCCTATGGTGAAAAACGTCTTTTCATCCAAATATCGTACCGAAGTAGACTCATATGATTTCCATGTGAGATGTGGGCGCGTGCTATCGATGATATTCATTTCTGATAGTAAATAATATTATAAGACTTCTTGAATGTCTGATGAAATTAAGCGTACACGATGTACCTCGATCTTGCTGGAACGTCAAGTAAGAATGGTATGCACCTAAAGTAATGTTTCATGTGGGAGCATGTCTAGGCATCTTGCCTTTTTTTTCTAGTCTTAGAGCTGCAATTGAACCAACCTTTTACCAACTTAATCACACCGTTAGAAGCGAGTTCTCTTGCTTCGCGAAATAAAAGCACATCTCCATTGACCAACACTTCTCCACTGAAATTAGCAGATCTTCATGAAGAATTTTAATTCAAAGAGTATCAAATTTAACTGCTCATGAAAATCACGCGTAAAGATCTACAACTACATTTGTTGATATTAGCGTCAACACAATCGATTTTGTTCTGCTTCATAAGATGTTTCTAAATAAAGGAAGATTGAAAATCTATCACACCTGTGTGGAGCAATGCTGTAACACAATCTACCATTACGCACAGTACGACGCAATAGTGCGTGAGTCAGGCACAGATTTGAACATGGAATTGGAATATCGTTTGCTGAAACATCATTTTATTATCCTTTCTTTCTCGCCAGAACCTATGCAAAGCAGAATAAATACTTTTTTATAAGAATGATTGTCATTTCGTTACATATTCATCTTGTAGATCATTACGTAAATATGCTCAAGAATTTATCGCATTATCGTGGCTGATAGCGTTAACGCGTGGCGGACGCTGTACTACAGAAAATGCAGTCTCTCAATACGGTATTCCAGGTTGGGGAGGAGTGCTACGTTTTTATCCCTTAGGATAGACCAACATCAAGAAATATCACAGTGTTGAAATGTACTAGATGGAAGGTGAGAAATCATTCTGTGATAGAAATCACCGAATATGCTTGTCGTAGTAGCTACCTGAGAAAAGCATCAGTCATTCTGATTCCGAGACTTCAGGTGATCGTATTGGCCAAACCAGAAGAGTTCAGCCTTAGCACCCTGCACAATGGGTGCTCCCGTCTGCGGCGGTGACTGGTGCTACAGCTAGGAAGAAATGATCAAATCTTGGACTCTATGGGAAGTTTTTGAAAACGGATAAAGTGATAACACCGGCAACACGTCATGGAACCAGCTTCTTGCTTCGACCCTGCAGCATCAAGCACATCTCTTTAGATGTCGATCTACACGCTCTTTTTGAGGCATTTGGTCGCATAACTACATATGGCCACCCAACACTAGAAGAAAACCATGAGGAAAGCACACGCTAATTAGCTAAGGAAATCCTTGTTATTTGTGGAGTTGAATTTGCATTTGTGGAGTTGGATCTGAGAAATGTAGAAGACGTCGGCGTGATCACTTATTTTTTCATGTTCTAAATTATCAGTTTAGAAGAAACCCTATCACAGCGCCTCGCCACTCTTTGTTTGCAATTTCGATAGGGCCAAAACTCTGCGCTCACTCTTTTAACCCTTACGCGTTTCCATCGATCTGCTTAAAAGCAGAGAGGTGAGCTAAAATTTTAGCCACGGAAAAAATTTGTAGCTGTTTACAAAACATATGTACGATGTTCTCTAAAAGCTATTTGATACTCACAACATTTAACCTGTTTGTGCAGAAAAGATCTTCGTATCCTATTGATTCTCAATATCCACGAGAATATTTGTCAATAACTTGGCACAGATGGGCCAATCACATTGAAGAGCTGGTAGCAGATCATAGATTACGAGAACAGTGTGGACTTGAAAAAAAAATGCATAAGCCCTCTTTAGCGGCCAACCGATGGTCGGATGTCTTCGTGATTAACGCAACACTCCCATATGGAAACATTCTCACGATAACGAAATAGTGTCTTGCAAGCGGCACAGCGTTGAAAGTAGGCTACAGCCATTAACGACGATTGCACGAAGCTGAGAGAAAGTCACGTAATGGATAGTAGGCTGACCCCGTACAATCCGTGAAGATGGGCCATTCGAGTGTCCAAGTAATTAGCAAATGGCACTGTTGGTGTCCAACATTACCTCAAGTCATTTTAGATGTAAGTGTTGTTTGACGCACTCTAATGACGAAGAATGCATTATAAGTATTCCACTACTTCATGAACATTGTCTTGAATCAAGTTACTTCATAACAGATTAGTGTATATTGGCAGTATGACAGTTAAAGAATGTATACAATGGAGAATCATTTTTGTTAATATAGTATAAAATAATACGATTGGTGTTGACTAGAGTTCTGAAGAAGATGATTTTTTTTTGTAAAGTAAACGAAAAGACCACAGTGTTAAAACTACAGTTACTAACTGGGACTTCTTCCAATCTTGTACACGTCCTTTCGATCAACATAAAATAGTGTAGCTGCGTTCTCATCACGCCATAAAACGTATGGACGCCTATTCTGAACCTCCATACCTGAATAGGCGTGACTATTGTGGCTAGTGAGCAACACTTCGAATTGGTTTCCACTGAATACCAGTATAAGTGACATCTTACCCTGGAGTTGAGTTGAATCGACCATCTCGAAAAACACAGAGCTTGTAGAAGTAAGACCTACTCAGTAATTCTGCTTTTATACTTCACCTTATCAATGTTATCCCTAGTGAATATTTATCAGCATGCTACATTAGTTCGTAAAGCTTTAATCCATAGGGAGCCCTTCCTACATAATACACATCGAGTTCAACACATGAAGAGCAAACCATCTTTTGATTACTTTAAGAATTAGTTGAACTCATCGGTGCATAATTGGTATTGACATAAAATCCCAATATTTAAGATAACATAGTGGCGCAACAAGTGCATGTTTTGTATATTGTGCTATATCAAGGA